TTATTAAATAAACTTTTATGGAATATTCAGCAATATGGAGAGTGCCTGGTCTGAGTTTTCCTATTTTGCTACCTTGTCGCACAACTTCAAGGTTGAAAGAAGTGATTACGCTTGAAAAATAGGTGCAAATTTCAATGAAATTTGATTTGACTGACGATGAGTCAGGAACACTGGGAAAACGAGAAATATTCAGGCGCCCGAGTTATTCGCTCGCCCATACGTGAATTAATGTTTCCATACACACACACGCACAGAGGGGGGATCGTAAAAATTTCTAAGAATCACCAAAGATAGGGTTGACCCTGGGTGGGGGAGGTGGGGAGACGGCGGGTTAAAATATGACTAATGAAACGGCAAGTCCTCTATTTACGCCTTTTTCATGCATCTTTTCAAGAAAATCACCTAACATTGTTACAAATTCGTAGAGAACACCTCTTTAGCTCCTTTTACTAAGACAAGACTCCCCAACTTCTACCACCACGACCCCCCCCCACCGGAACTCCTCTTGCCAAGATGACAAGTACGTTAAAATCAGAAATCACCCATACAATAATCTCAAACATTATCACCCCGAAGAACTTGGTACTGTGGACGGTGGTCCCTGTCCATTCACCGAAGCTGGAAGCACAAGCGTATTCAGGCTAATATAACCAGGTTTCGATTAGTGAAGTCATTCCTGGATAGTATACATAATTCTCAATCAAGAAAAACCCGAAAAGGGTTGAAGCAATACCTTTGCGTCCGCTCCATCGATTTTCTGCTTTCGCATACGTTCGATTTTCGCATCTTCCTCTTTCTGAACAATCGTTTTCAGAAATCTACCGCAAAGGCATTGTAAATTTCCATCTAAAATCACCTTCACAGCAGCTCGTTGAGGGCGTAATCGTTCTTGTAATGCTGGCGTACATATATCATAGAGGTCAAGAATCAAAGGAAACTTCACGTCCTTCAGAATCTTTGCATTCACCTAAACTAACAATAAAAAAAATCCGACAATATATAATTAGGAAAGCGATCGTCTGCGCCTGTCTGTCTGACCGTAAATTCATCCCTACCCTCTTTGATCCCAGAGCGCTCAAACTTCTATACATACATGGTATACGCCGTTCGCGATGACAGTGGAGACAGGGTCAACAAGTCCAACGAGGGGTGGGGGGTCGTATTTGGGGTGGAAAAAGGGGGGGGTCGTATTTCGCGAGGTAGCGTTAATGTTACAGTAAGGGAAGTGATGATGCAGTTGGTTGGCGCGCTAAAATTTTGCCGTTTCACGGTGTGTATATGCCCTCTACTAAAAAATGTTGCAGTGGAAATATGGGTGAAAGAGAGGGAAAGTGAGAGGATGTTCGCGGTTTCGTGGTAGGTATACAGGGTGGCCGAAAAAAAGAGACACTTCACTCCACATTTCAGACAGCATTAATCACACTTTGCTAAAATCAAATCGACTGCCCCCAACTTAGTATTGAAGAGCACATTCTAATCTATCTAAAGTTACATGACAGCCTTCTACACCGACGACATCAGAAGATTTTCCCACGGAAACATGGTTCACGGTACAGGGTCAAGCGAGGCGTCGAGGAAAATTTGGAAATACGACCCCCCCCCCTCCCTCCGCCGGAGGCCGAAGTCCATGAAACGACCCTCTTCAAAAGCCGAACTATGAAAAGGTTGTTTAATTCTCCCCCAAAACTGTTCATAAAAAGCCCTGCTACCCCACCGTCCACCGAAAAATTTGTTTAAGAAGTACAAAAGTGAAAAAGTCAAAGTATGATCATTAATGATGAGTACTACCGAACGAGCAAACGAGAAAAGGAGCAAAAAACGACAAACTAGTCATTAAAAATGGCATACTATGACAACATCTCTTCTTTATTTATTTCCTCCACAAGACTTACCAAATTCTAGTACTACAATTCTCAATTTACACGTCCCCCTTTCGCTCGGAGGAAGCCTTCGTAACCGCCTTCGCCAGCTGTGTGTTGACTGGACTTTGGCGTTGACCGTGGAGCAGCTTATTATATTTGAAAAACAAATATTCAAATGATTATAACTTTCTTCAAATATGACGAATTTTCAATCTGAAAGAAGATTTGGGAGTTTTGTGAAGAGCTCCTTCTGATCAGTATTGAAATTACAAAAAGTTATAAGAAATAACAAATTTAGATCAATTAACGAGGAAAATTCGAGATGAGCACGAGTTTTTACACTTTCCGAAGCAACAACTTGCTTCATTTTCGTCAAATTCGAAAAGTTAATATGGCAGACAAAACTAGAAGATTTCTCTACCAAACCGTTGCTAAAGCAGCTCTATACGTCCAGTATTCAAAAAATGGCCACGTTGAGGATTTTTGCAAAATTAACGAGGAAAATTCGTGATGAGTGCGAGTTTTTACACTTTCCAAAGCCATAACTCCGTTCAAACTCATCCAATCCGAAAAGTTAATACGTCATCATAAACTAGAAGATTTGCTCTATCAAATGCTTACTAGAACTGCTCCAAACGTCCAGTATTAAAAAATGGCCACGTTGAGGATTTTTGCCCGAGTACCGCCGAAAGGTACTTTTTCGCTACATTGGCACTATTTCAACGGCTGTATATCCTTTTAAGGGCGATTATGTACTAAAGTAAGAGCAGATTTGGAATCACTGCTTTTCTCTTTCTAAGAAAAGTGATTGATTAGCGTTTCTCAACTTTAAAGGTTACATGTTTATAAATTTAACCCTGAAGAGTCCGTTAACGCAATGTTGAATGGTGTACACCTCCCTGTAATGCGCACGGACACTTTCAGAATCCTCTCGATTTTTCCTGAATTGAGATTGTTTGTCCAAGGAGCCGTAGTTGAAGCGCGCGCAACAACTGGGACCCACTCTGGGATGCGCCGTGTGCTTCACATCCCTTCAGATTCGAGGACTTACTTGAAAGATAAAATATCCCTTGGAAAGCGTGCGAATTTCAGATTCTTTAACTTGTGTGGTGATAAAACACTGAAGTAACTAAGAATTTACCGGACGCCTCAGAATCACGAAAATTTTGTGTGGGTGAAATATCATTTTCATTGGAAATCCTCTGGCCTGGCATCGACTCGATCCTTGATGTTTGTCCTCCGACGGTGATGATCCTACTGCATCAATCGGGCCCGATCTCTTCCCCCAGCGGGCCAATACGACCCCCCCCCCTGTGACGTGTCGAGGATTCCTCAACGCACGCTTGACCCTGCTCACGGTACGAGCTCAACGAGGTCGTCGAGGTACCATAGACCATTACGACGTCCCTGAAACGCTGGTCAAAAGCGGTCTTGCATAGTCACAGCTAGTGTCTCTGGAAGCTATTCACCAGTTAATCGATTGAAGAAATTATGTAGCAGCTTCAGGCCGGAGCGATTACGGTAAGCCTCGTTGAGCTCGACGGTGACGGCAGATGACGTCATATTCTGAAGACGGTGAGGGCAGTGAAGGAGGGCCTGCTTCTGCTTATGGGGGGACACCTAAGGAATATTCTGCCGTAAAACATTCATCAACAACGGCATCCTGTGCGACGAAAAGTTCGATGATGTGCGCCATAAGCAAAGTGTCTCTTTTTTGGCCACCCCAACGATCGAGGATCGTTGACGCTGCCGTTTTCGCCAAGGAATCGAAGATAAGGTGGGCCGGACACGTCATGCGATTTTGCGATGACCGTTGGACCAGAGCGGTTACCGACTGGATCCCTCGGGACGTCAAACGAACACCTGGACGACCGCCGGCCCGATGGTCAGACTTCTTCACGAAAGCTCTCATCGGAAGGAACTTCCACTTCATGTTTCTTCGCTGCATTTTGTTTTCACCCGATAACATTTTGAAATTATTACCCATTCAAGTTCCTTAGCTTAAAGGCAAAACCGCTGTCAGACTTCCGTAAAAGGAAAATCCTAGCAAAAGACGCGGGAATTTTCGAAGTGTCAGCTCACGCTGGAATTTGTCGGGGTGACTTCATAACGAACAAATTTCTCAAGGATGCTACAGGATATGATCTGGGAGGAACCCTGATTACTATCCGACCGAGATAAGCGCCGTATCGTGAGAAAATAA